GGAATACAACCTACAAACAGATTAGTTGAGTGGTTTCAGATTCGTCACTGGTAGCAACTTATGATGAAGCATAACTGGTAGTCAGATGATTTTGCTATCACAGTTGTTTTGACAATGATTTGACTTTTTATTTTATTTTATTTTTTAAGCAATAATAGTTTTGCTAAGAGAACTAAGGCATTAACACTTGCATCTCAGATGTTTCCATGAAGAAAGTAATGTTCTAAACAGGAAGGAACATATGCAATTAAATTTTATGATGAAACTGAATTGTTAAAATATTTACGATCATTTTTTAAAAAGCTTTAAACATATCCAAGTTATACAGTTTTTGAAACCCAAGGCATTGTTATCAATTACTTGATCCTTTCCTATCTCTTTCCTTGTTATCTTAATTTCTTGTATTTTTAGCTAGCAATAGGAGACTTGATAAACTGCTTGTATTGTGCCAAGTATGTATCTTTTCTGATTGTTTGTTTTTGCTATTTGGAAGGTTTTGGAAAAATGGATACCTTGAAACTAGAAATCTTGCTATGATGGAGAATCTGGAAACTTAAAATTCAACCACACCTTTCACCTTTTTGTGTTGTATTATTTTGTCATGTTTACAACTTCTCAATGACATTCCATTTTCTTGTTTGTATTATTTTCCTTTGTTGGTGCTGGATCTATCTCTGGAATACTTGTTGAGATGGCTCCTTTTAAGTTAGCAAGCCAGATAACAAAGGCAACAGTGACTAAGAAGTTGCAATATATGTGTTTTGTAGAATGAGGAATTCTTGTAAGGTCTATCAGTGCTCCAACTTAATTTGTTTGGGGTATACAATCTGAAATTTCACTCTTTTAAGGATCTCTCTATAGAGATTAATTAACAGGTTAAACATGTTAATACAGAAACAATCAGATTTGTTAACAGGTTAAACATGTCTCTACACTCTACAAGTCTGTTTACGAGTTGCTTAAAACCGTTAGTTCTATATTCTTCATTGCCAAAGCTTATCATGTAAGTGATGGCTCTAAGGAACTCAATACTCATATTTGGCAAAATTAGATTAATCATGATTAATAAAGTAATTAGACCAAGAAAGATCTTGATTGAGTAGTAAGATTCCTGATTCAATATTGAACATCATGACTAACATGAAAGAGAAGAATAACATGATAAAAGAAGAGAGGATTTCTACATACAATTTCACAATATCATCATCCAAAATTGAACACAAGGTTTTCTGGTCAGACTGATCCCTACCTGTCCATGCTCGTTTCCCGCTAGATGGGTCTCCTTCATCAGGAGCAATCAATCCTTCAGACATTCAGATGATAAAATAATTACCATGACAAGGTCTTTATAGATCCTCCTAAGCTAAATCCTTTCATACATAGATTATAACACTAGAACTCTCTTGAGATCAATTATTGGTCTTCGTTTTTGTTTTTTTACTCATTTGATGTTGCCTAGAAGGATTTCTTGTGAAACTGACAGCAGGCTGCATCTGTAGCAAACAATTTTTGATAGTTCCTCATTCTCAGAGTGGTCATTATCTATCCACTAAAGGATAGCTAATAATGATATTTCTGTATGTACTTTTTTTCAGGACACCAACTGAGGTGCAGGAAAGAACCTTAAATGGAAGAATGGATCAAGTTTGAGGCACCTGAAGAAATGCTAGGGAGTTTAAAATATCTTCCTTTCTCCAAATTTAGAAGCTAACAGATCTTAATTGGGAAACCATAGTTGTTTGATTAGGTTCTTATCATAGAAGCAGAATATGCAAACAGCTGATGAGGCATCTGCCTGAATGAAGCTATATATCGATAGAAACGTTCAATAATTTTAAACTATATTGGAAAATTCACTTTTTTTTCGCTCAGTGGTGAAATTATTAATTCATTTTATCTTGCAATCTTCTTTGCTTGTTTGTAATCCATCTCATATATATAGATACAATTTAACTCATATATTTTTCTTAGCTCTGACTGTTTTTTTTTTGTATTAATTATCCCATATTATTTCATCTGTTTGATGCAGTTATTTGTTATTCTTAGAAATTCCTTGATTTCTTGTTTGATGTTTAAATGGCAGGAACGTGAATCAAAGAAAGATACTGTGCAAGATGAACAAGTAGAAACTGAGATGCAGGTGTTTCAACCGAGAATATTGGGCAAAACTTCTTCTTGAGATAATTCAAAAAAACCATCACATAAATGCAGTCATTCCTCCTCCTAGTAAGAACACCACAAGAATTCTATACCCCGATGGCGGCATATTCATATTCCCCTTGTCTTTTGCTTCACACAGTGTAGTGCTGCTGAATTGTGTCAATGTCCAGTCCCTTTAGCTTCACCACGGACTCGACGTGCCCTTTCAGCGTGTTTAGTTCCCTCAGCCTGCAACAAAAGCATTGCATCAAATCGACTTTTTGCTGACAAGCTCAATGATGCCGTCTTTCTAGTTTGGTGCAGGTTATTACCGGGCAACCTCGGCGCGCCTCATCGCCTGATCAGCGATCTCAGACAACTCCCTGTAGCTGTTATTGTCGTTGAAGAGGGCTGAGGTGTCCGGGACCTGCAGGCCATGGAGGGTGCGCTGAGCCAGAGCCCACTGCGCCTCCCTCTCTTCCCTCCCGTAATCCTTCTTCGTGGTGAATGCCGTCTGTGTCGCGGTTTGATGACGGTGAGATCAGCAGTCAAGAGAGGAGTGGAATCTGACGGGTGAAGGTTTACCTTGTTCTGGAGAAGGTTGTCCCAGGCCCTGCCGCTCAGAGCATAGCGGATAATGAACTTGAGGACGTCGAGAGGGAAGTAGGTGACCAAGCTGAAGATCCAGATGATCGCTGCCCATCCCCATCCGATTCCTTCGATCCTAGCGAAGCCCCACGACGCGTACACGGCGATGACGGTGGCCACCTACAGCCAGGGGAATCATGTCGACGTCTGGAAAAGGAGAAGCTTATGACGAAGGAAGACGCGCGAGGTTACCAGCTGCGCAGCGAGGAAGGCGGTGACCAGCAGCAAACCAGGGCGTTCGACGAAGGACCAGCTCCTCGACCTGGTGACGAAGATGAGCGCCTGACTGATGATACTCACTTGGAGGTAGAGAGCTGCCGTCAGCTCGTTGTTGTTGTCCCTGATCGACTTCACTCCAAATTTCTCCTGTTTAGAAGCAGAAGACAGTGGTTTCATCAAAAGGAATGGAAGGAAGAAAGAGAATGCAGTGGGTTTGCAGCAGGTAAGCGGTCGGAGTAGGCGCTGCTGCTCACAGGGAAGAAGTCGGTGTCATGAACGAGCCAGAAGAAGACGACGGTAATTATGGCGAGGTAGGCACCGAGGACGATTCCAGTGGCGAAGATCTCCCGGAGCTTCCATGAATCAGGCAAGGGGGAAGGCTTGACCCTGTCCTTGGAGATGGTCATGATGGTGCCGTCGTTGAGGATGGCTATGACGAGGATCATGAAGGGGGAGAAGTCGAATTGCCAGATGAGGGCGATGAGCATGAAGCCGAGCACGATGCGGATGGTGATGGACACGGCGTAGATGGTGTAGTTCTTCATGCGCTGGAAGATGGCACGGCTCGTCAGCACCGCGCTCACGATGACGCTGAGCCCTGGCTCTGTCAAGACGATGTCCGAGGCACTACGGGCAGCGTCCGTCGCGTCCGCCACCGCGATGCCGATGTCGGCCTTCTTCAGAGCTGGTGCGTCATTCACCCCGTCTCCTGTCATGCCACAGATGTGCTTCCTCTCCTGCAACCTCCTCACGATCTCATACTTGTGCTCTGAAACATCAGCATCGAGCATGGGATCGAGGTGAATGCAAGCAGGTGAAGAGACCCATCACAAACAAGGATGCATCGTTACCGGGGAAGACTCCAGCAAAGCCGTCAGCCTTCTCAATTAGGTCATCGATGGGGAGGCCGGTGACGTCGTCGGTCTTTTCGCCAAGAAGCGTGGAGGACGGATACATGTTGGTTCCCATGCCAAGCCGTCGCCCTGTTTCCTTGGCGATGGCGAGCTGGTCGCCGGTGATCATCTTGACATTGACACCAAGGTGGAGGGCTTGGCGGATGGTCTCCGCACTGTCGTGCCTCGGGGGGTCGAAGAGGGGCAAGAGACCCATGAACTGCCATGGATCGCCGGCGCTCGCCTTGGTCGCCTCAGGAACCTCTTGCCTCGCCACACCCAGAGCGCGAAGGCCGCGCTCGGCGAACTTATCGATCATGGCATGGACCTTCTTCTTAGTATCATCCTTCAGGTTGCAGAGGTCAATGATCTGAAGCAACGCAGACGATTAGGCACTGGTTGAAGAGGATGATGGTTGATACAAGATCAAAAGATACAGAGAAGCCCCAGCACGTACCTGCTCAGGCGCACCCTTGCTCGACCGGTGCCACTTGCCGTCAGAGTCGATGTAGGTAATTGCAGTGCGCTTGTCAACCGGATTGAACGGCAAGAAATGGACCTCCTCGATCCCTGCGCGTGCCTGCAAACATGGATCTCGTGAACAAAAGAGCTTGGATCCATGGAAGTTTAAAGCTGCAGCAGCATGGTAATAGTGGATTACCTCCTTAGGTTCAGCCAGCATTCCGACAATGGAAGCATCGATCGCGTCCTGGTTCTCGACCCTAGAAGCCCTCGCAGCGTACAGGACCACTGTGTCCCTATCCAAGCCGTTTACAAACACCTGCAGCAGCCGTTCACAAACATCGGTATCAGTCGATCACTTACCTAAAGGCACAGCGCAAGCATCACCTCGATCAAGTTCCTGTCAACACTGAGCTTGTTGAGGGTGAGAGTTCCGGTCTTGTCGCTGCACAGCACATCCATGCCGGCCATCTCCTCAATGGCGGTCATCCTCTTGGTGATCGCTCCCTGCTCCGACAACCGGTGGGATCCGATGGCCATGGTGACCGATAGCACGGTGGGCATGGCGATGGGAATTCCACCGATAAGCAGCACCAGGAGGTTGTCGATGCCGTCCCGGTACCGCCGGTGCTGGACCGGGTACATGACGATGATCTCGATGATCATCCCCATTGCGATCGAGCAGATGCAGAAGTTCCCGATGGCCGTCAGCACCTTCTGGAAGTGACCCACGTTGTTGGTGCTGTCGACGAGGTGGGCAGCCTTGCCGAAGAAGGTGTGCACTCCGGTAGCGATGACGATGGCCTCGATCTCTCCTTGCTTGCAGGTGGAGCCCGAGAAGACCTCATTGCCGGGCATCTTGGTCACAGGGAGGGACTCGCCGGTGAGGGCGGACTGGTCGATCTTGAGCGGATCGCCCTCCAAGAGTCGGGCATCAGCCGGGATGATGTCACCGAGCTTGATGCTGATGATATCACCAGGGACGAGGATCGCCGCTTCCTGCTCCGACCACTTCCCATCCCTCAACACCTGTACCAAGTCACCCATTTGGATCGATAAGCCTGCGTGTGGTGTGTCAAGTAAACTATGTACGCAACGAGACCTTGGTCTTGGGAGCGAGGCCGGCCATGAGAGCTGCCGCGGCATTTCCAGCGTTGTTCTCCTCGATGAAGCTGATGGTGGAGTTGATGATCAGGAGGACGACGATGCCAATGAAATCCTGCCAATCTGGTGGCTCACCCTGCGAAATGCAGCCATGCATCGTCAGATGCTCCGATGCTACAGACGATGGAAGAGGAGACAGCAGAATGGAACTTACCCCTCCGTTATCCAACACGATGGCCATGATGGCGGCGATCTCCATGACCCAAGAAAGGGGGTTCCACATGAAGCCCAAGAACTTGAGGAACTTGCTCTCCTGTTGTGGTTTCCAAGACGGACATTGACAATCGAGAGCGTGAGCTCTGATGATCGACACACATACATGCACGGTGAAGAACAATGTCGCAAGTACGAACCTTCTTCTCCTCGAGCTTGTTGAGGCCAAAGATGTGGAGTCGCTGCTCCCCTTCGGCGGTGGTGAGCCCCTCCTGACTACATTTTAGTTGCGTAAATACCTCCTCCACCGGGATACTCTCCTGCAAACAACAGAAGAAAAGCAGGAGGAGTGGTCATTACTACGTCCTGTACGCAACGCACCAAACCAACAGGAATCAAACAAGCAGAAGTTTGGTAGAGGATCTAACCAAATCCACGGTCTCGTTCCTGATCTCCTCCAGGGAGATGGATCCGTAGCCGTCGGTCGCCATCTTACGTTATTGTTTTCTTCCTTCAGCGCTGCACTGCTTGCTGAGGAGGAGGAAGAAGAGAGCTTCGAGCGTCTATAAGACGAGGAAGGGGGAGGAGAGCACGAAAGATATGGATGCTCTCGAGTTTTCTCTCCCTCTCTTTCTCGCCTGCATAGATGCAGACGAGCGGCTCTCTTCGTGAGGCGTTCAAAGGCGACGAAGGTAGAAAGCGATGGCAGGCGTGTACTTATAGGAGGGAGGGTGGTAGTGACTGCGAGAGGGTGCGGCCCAGTTGTGGGGCTCGCAGCTCAAACCGGCGATCTCCATTCGCGGGCTGCCGCTCGACGGGTGCGCAAGTATCGGGCTCGGCGTGAGAAGAGGAGCGAAGAACAAAATGGAGGTACGACGAAGTTTCATGTGGTATTTGATGACCTTAAAATAATATTATTAAGGTTGTATTGGATAAAAGATTTAGCAACTGATGTGTGCTCAGTTAATATGATAGAAATTTTAATTGATTTATTAATTTGATAGCTTTGAATCAATAACCTAAAATACTTATAAATTAATATCCTAAAATATATTAGTAATGATAGAAATCACAAAAATATATCTTTTTTTTTCGCTTCAAATCTTATTCCTATATAGAAACTATTTTTTAAATGGCATCGAAAAGCAAGTAAACGAATATTACGCGTTCACAATCTCAATCGGGACGGATCTGTTCGGGTCGATCCGAACCCGATTCGAGCCCTACTCTGTTCAATTGGCTCATTATCTATCCTCTGTTCGACAAGGGTGTTAATGGATGCATCCGACATCTGATTCGAACATCCGACCCATAAGCTTCTCGTATTCAAATACGGCGATCCGACTCGGATCAAAACAACCTCCGCGAAGGAAACGCGAGACACGACGAAAGCTGTTAAAATACTACGCCTTCGTCGAGTTCGCTGGGTTGGCGTGAGAGAGAAACCCTCGATTTCGTTGCGAGAACGGGGGCGCTGAATCTGGAAGCAGAGTCGGCCTCTCGCAAGGATGCAAAGATCATCATGGGGGACGAGATGGAGGTCATCGTAAACTCGTCGATTCCAAGGTGATGGCACCTCTCTCTCGAACCCTTGCATGATCTGTCTGGTCTTTCCGTGCTGCGATGTGGATTTCCTAGGTTGGGTACGGCGACAATGCTTTTGCGCATGAATCATTGATAATGAGAAAGAAAAGAAACCATAGGTTGCCCAATCGACAGCAATGGCTGCATTCACGGTTCTTTGCCCACTAAAGAGGCCTCCTTTTTGTGTTGGCTATTTCGTGTATTTTTTTGACCAGAAATATTCAAGAAGGAGCTTTCGAAGCCCTAGGCATTCACATTTGCCAGAAATACTACGATTTGGAAGGTAGAAATGGCTCGGTAGCTGGTATTTCTCCATCCTCTGTTTTTTCTTTTTATTTGACGTCAACAAGGTGAATTTTAGCTGTCGAAGACATGTCGGCAATCTCTTATGGCCCGGCGTGCGTGAAGACGACAAGTAAAGGTTGGGAAGGTTAGCGAGAGATTAGGCAGAGGGAGAGGCGGAAGTTAGTATGCGGGAGAAAAATAAAGTAAAAAAGACAAACCCTAATTTAGGGCTTATTACCATTGTGCTTAAAATATTAGCAGTGGTTACTAGTAGCCTTCCATAGGACAGGTGATAGGTAATGTGGCATATGGAGATCACTCGAGTGGGTAAAGTGTCATTGACTTCACGGCTAATGGATTAGTTGCAAAACTGCTCCGAACATATATAAGTTTCCGTAAACAGTTGTCCTTAATCGTGGACTCTGTAAGTTCAATCGTCTTCGGTGTCCGATGAAAACGCCTTACTTGGGATTCAGTAATTTGCATGGATAGATGGGCCAATAAAGGAGACCACTGAAAATGCCTCAGCTAAGAACTCGGCATCGTCTTTAGAAGGTTGATGTCAAGTTGATTGCAACAAATATGAGTGCTTTTGCGGAGGGGCTTTTTTTTTTGTTTCAAATTGTGTTTAGCATCAACCTTGTCTCAGTGTCAGAACTTGCAGGCATTCATGAAACTTTGATGTCAGATTACCTTCAAAACTCTTGTCATCATGTTGTCAGTCTTGATTGCAGTAAAATTAAGAAGGGTATATTGTTTCATCCGTAGGCTAACTACTTGTTGTGTTTGTGATTTTCTTATGTACTTTACCTTATTATATCCAACAAGATTCTAATCCTGATTATAACTACAACTTGTTGTTGGGTGCTTTATGTGGCTTATTTCATAATTAACTGAAAACAAAGAAAAGCCATCACATTATTATCATTTGATACTGTTTGTACCGAATGATGGAGCACCGATATCACAAACTTAATTGAGCAATCCTGTTGGTTAGCATGAGACTGTTGCACAATTGAAATCTCTCCGTTTTGTATGTAGTTTAATGTAATGAAAAAATTGACAAAATTTACCGCTTAGTAAGGCCAGATAATATTCGTTTTTAGATATTGTACTTCGAAGACAGTGCTAGGCAATGATCGCAAGGACCTCGTATAAATAATCAATGAAATTTTGTAAACGTTAGAGTTACGTGACGTGACACCATTGTAACCTAAGAATTCAGGTATGATGATGAAAGAAAACCAGTGCTATTTATTTAACTATGTATTCACCTGAACATATTTAGCAAGGTTCGACTGGCATAGTAGTACTGATAATGGCTATTTCATTTGGTGACTAACCATCCGTGTAATTGCTTACAGGAACAATCATGGTTAATCTTTTTTCTTGGAATATTTCCTGTTTGGGACCTTTGACCTTTGTGTGATTTGTGCAGATTGAAGTCTTTGTAAATTGATGTTTGCTTCCCGACCATAACTAGCTACCAAAATACAATGGGCACTTGTTGTGACTCTGGAAAACTTGGTTGTAAAGAGAGGCTTAAGCATAGGTTCTGAAGTTCCCATCTGATCCTTCGGATTCGGCATCATTCTGCACAAAATGGAAAACACTTGGTTGTCACAGGAATATTACGTCCAGCTTCTGGTGGTGAAACTTGTGACTAACATCAGAAAATGTTTTTGTTGAAGAAATTGCACCGAAAGGCCTTGTACCACTAGCAAAGATTATATTGATTTGTAATACAGATACATCTCAGGATTCTGCCACGAGAGAAAGGACCACCCAGCGTGGATCCCTTTTGCCATATTGATCCATGATGGCTTGCCAACTACGGAAGATGGGCCACAGCTAGGCTGCGAGATCGACCAGTTTGAGAATGTGGTGACTTGCAATCAAGGCTTTGTAGCAGAAGCACAGTCGAACCAGGGTAGTAATCCAGTGAGTTTGGTAATCCAGTTCTTTGTAGCAGAAATTGTCGGGCAGGGACTGTAGCAGAAGCGAAGAAGTCATAATCGTCTTATTTGTATGAATCCTTTGTTCTCTGGTTGAAGGTAAGGTAAGACTGGTCAGGAAACAATGATTTGTCGGTCAACTCCGTCGTGATGATACTTCCTCGTCAATGATTATGGCAGTGCTTCGGCCCAGTGTGTGCGTGATTTGTATGTTCTCTGATTGGAAATGAAGTCAGATTCATGAATATTCTACCTGTTATCATTTGTGTCACCAACTCAAGTATAGTGTTTCGTGTCGATTTTAGATTTAGATAGAATTAACGAGTATAGTGAGGAGCATTGCTCTTAAAAACATGATAGTTCTCGAGTGTGGGTTTCCACTCCACCCAATCTGCTGTTGTGCACCCCAAGCGATGACGACAGAGCGAAGTCAGACGACATTTGCAACACCAAACCCGGCATATCGGATCAACTTTTGTAAGCACCAAGTGGATTATTTTATGTTGGCGGAGCCGCGGACTTTCTCGTGGTGGTGCGTCGTGCTATATGCGAGTGCGAAACCACGTGGATTCCACGCAACGAGCGGGTCCAATAGACCACGGACGAGTTGCGTCAATGTATGCCGTCCACATTCTGTGCGCGCGACGCGTGGCAGAATCTGCTAGTGCAGGAGCTTGCGGAAGTTTCCCTTTCATGTTGTAGGTTTAAATTTAGGTGGAGTCTGTGTCGAATTAGTGGACCAAACTCAAGTTCTTGGATCGCATCCAAATATCAATCAGCATAGTCGATGATATTATTTTGCACAGAAAAGCAAATAGAGTGACTAATTGGGATTTAAGAGTTCGATGAAGAAATACCACACAATCTTGTTTTCCTCACCAAGTCTTTACCTGTCCTCGTAGTCTTTAGCATATCTGACAGAGAGAAAGAGAGAGGACTTCCGGAAGTAGTGTTGGGGCAACTACGAGTGAATCGATAAGGATTGACTTGACAGTAGCATTATGCTCTCAACAACAACCAGTCAACACGAACTTTGACTAGTTCTATGTTCTGATACGTGCATACATCGTATTGTATCAGTTGGAACGAAAGGATAGAGAAATCTGAATTCTGAGGAGCGTGTGCTTAAATAAGTTACGGTTCATATTTGCTTGTATCTGTTGGTTGGAACGACGAGTCCAAGTCTCATGCGGGACAAATCAATTAAGTTAAATTCTCGTGCTGAGAGGGACCAAATGTTCTTATTTCCTCACATTTATCATTTAATATGAATGCTACAGAATCTATCCGATTCCAAACTCCGTCATCTCTCTCTCTCTCTCTCTCTCTTCTCCATCTATACAACTGTGAGCCAAACTGGCTTTCGCTATGGCTGACGCATTCCCACCGTACGAGTGGCGCCGTTGACACTTTTGCGTGGAAACTCAATGGCGTGGGTTGGGGGATGCTCGATGGCACTTTGCGCTCACCGGCCCCTCCACGTTATGTGATGAGAGAGAGAGAGAGAGAGAGAGAGAGAGAGAGAGAGATTCCCAAAAATGCTTTGTCTTCTGCATTTTTTGGATCACGCTCACGCCACAAGGGGGAGCTGCCGTGTCGACTGCAGCACCAGGCAAGAAACACGAGGGGTTCAGCGTGGAAGCCCAATCTCCAAGGACATTTAATGGATGTGCAATTTGTCCTGCACTGCAACATGATCGAGTGATATCGTCAGGCATCCGCGGTTGTGCTGCTGCTTCTGACGACGACTCGTCATGTGGAGAACGGGCAAACCATTTACTATAGGTTCCATGTTAGGTAGACGTCTTTTCAGTAGGAGGATCACCTCCCTCTAAAGAGTTCTGCATCACATGATCACTGGCATTTTTCATCTGCATCTCTGTGTCGTTCCAGTAGATTGGAGGAACATTCCTTTTATCTTCCTTGTTAATTGCTAACTATCCTGTGGTTGAATTAAAAGACGAGTTTTTATGCATTACCCATGGCATTCTGCAGGTTCGATTCCAGACGCATGGATCGTGGACGTCACTGTGTTCCACTCAAATGGTGTCTCCTCCACAAGAATAGTGAATATTTGGATGTGAACAATGGGCTCCATCGTATCAACGCCATTATAGATTCTGAGTAGCTTCATGATTAAGATGCGGAAGAAGAAGAAGAAGAAGAAGAATCTACATGTTACCTACTTGCCTTTGAGAACTTGTTATCTAGAGGCCACTTCACCTAACGAGTATTGAGTGGGTAAAAGCTTCAAGAAGACCTCAAAGATTGGTGGTCTTCCTAAGAAGTGGCTTTTTCCTGACGGTGAAGGCGAGAGATGTGCTCGGATGCGTTGTTCATCGCTCCACCTACTCCTTCTCACCATTTGCCACACCTCTCGCTTCTCCATGGCCTATAAATTGCACCTTGTTTGGTTCCTTCTTTTCTCACCAACACCACCCAGTCTTGTTGCCTCTGGCTGGAACCTACATATAACCTCTCTCCCCAATCAACGCCATCAGCATGACCATCGAAGCTGTCGCACCCACCGGCAATGGCCAGACCGTGTGCGTCACTGGTGCGGGAGGCTTCATCGCCTCCTGGCTCGTGAAGCTGCTCTTGGAGAAAGGATACACCGTCAAAGGAACCGTGAGAAACCCAGGTGAAATTAATGGCGTTTACTAGCTTCTTTTATTCTTTTGCCCTTCCATCTTCTTTTGAGACTGCTGCTGCTTCCACAGATGATCCGAAGAACGCGCACTTGAAGGCAATGGAGGGCGCCGCGGAGCGGCTAATACTTTGCAAGGCTGACCTCCTCGACTACGACGCTCTGCGCGAGGCCATCGATGGCTGCCAGGGTGTCTTCCACACTGCTTCTCCCGTCACCGATGATCCTGTGCGATAAGTCTCGGTGCCCAAGGAAGCGATCGCCAGCGCGTCTTCCTTTTGTTCTTATCGATGATAACATAGATATATGTGGGTGTGTGACAGGAGCAAATGGTGGAACCTGCTGTGAGGGGCGCCAGGTACGTGATCATTGCGGCTGCCGAGGCGGGCACCGTCCGCCGCGTGGTGTTCACCTCCTCGATCGGCGCGGTCACCATGGACCCCAACCGCGGTCCCGACGTGGTCGTCGACGAGTCCTGCTGGAGCGATCTCGAGTACTGCAAGAACACCAGGGTGACGACACCAAACGATTCGACTCAGAGATAAGGATGGTGGCTGACGCTTGACGCTTGTCTCTGCCGTCGCAGAACTGGTATTGCTACGGGAAGGTGGTGGCAGAGCAGGCGGCGTGGGAGGTGGCGAGAGAGAAGGGGATGGAGCTGGCGGTGGTGAACCCGGTGCTGGTGCTGGGCCCGCTGCTGCAGCCGCAGGTGAACGCCAGCATCGGCCACATACTAAAGTACCTCGACGGGTCGGTGAAGCGGTACACGAACGCGGTGCAGGCGTACGTCGATGTGCGGGACGTGGCCGAGGCGCACCTCCGTGTCTACGAGACCGCCGGGGCCGCCGGCAAGCGCTTCATCTGCGCCGAGCGTGTCCTTCACCGGGAGGACGTCGTCCGCATCCTCGCCAAGCTCTTCCCCGAGTACCCCGTACCCAACAAGTAACCCTCTCTCTCTCTCTCTCTCTCTCTCACGTAATTGCTTTAAGGTGGTGAAAACATATCGCGGAGAAACGATGATATCTTAGTGAGATATCGGTAAATCGGTAAACCAATTCTATAAACCAACTTAAACAGACAACATCACATGAAAGAGAAGGCGTTAATTGAAGACCGACGTATAAATGCATGCATGAAATCTTTGTCATGGGAAGAAATCCAAGTCTAACTTATGGGAACTTAAACAAGTGATCATCGATCCAACCCGTCTTTGGTCTTCAGATTCCTTTCCTTTCTTTTTCACATAGCTTTCTCATCTACAGATGCCGTATTAGTCGACTTTCAACATATGCAAACAGGACTCTCCGACTCTTCATATAAACTCGATTAGCCCTTTACATCTGACAAGATTATTTAGAGGATTAAGATGGGAGATGCATAGAGCCTCAGAAGAAGAACCTTAGCTTGTAGTACTTCTGAAAAGATAGATAGGTTAATTCATGTGCAGAAAATAAAATAGAGGGAAAAAAGAGATTGGAAGAGAAGACATAAATAAAGAGCAACAGATACATACAAATGGGGTGTGTTTCCTACTTACTCCTCTTCGGCATCAGTCTCGTATGTTGGGTCCATTAAAGCTATAAATGATGACAAGGGTATGATTGCAACTTACAACTGTGGAAATAATGAATGGACCACTCGACGCCCACTTTTCAAGACTAAAAGAAGCATAAGATAGTTGGAATGGAGAGAAGCTCCAATGGCATGTTCGGATAGAATATTAGGAGGGGGAAAAAAAAATCCCTAAAATTAGAGAAATAATTTTTTTATATTAAGAAAGTGGTGCAAACGATCTCAGAATTTTGTTATGAATAGTTAAAATCTTCAGCATCTAAGCTTGCTAATTTTTTCAACAAAATTAAAATCTTACTTTTTTTTCCCTATTATTTTAACAAAAAATAATTATCAATGATAATAACGAATTAATCCTCATATGATTTAGTGGATAATTCTATGAAAGAACCTCTCTCTCTCTCTCTCTCTCTATATATATATATATATATATATATATACATTCTTGGATGAAGAAGATCCCATAAGTCTTCTCTGCAAAATAAATGCCAACCGCACAAAAAAAAACCCTAACAACGAATAACTCCCAACCATCCATTCTTGTCGAAGCCCAGCTTTACTGGTTTCTGGAGTCGCTGGTACGGAATGTTAGGTTTACCAGTGTGTCCGGTCGAGGGTTTGGTGTGGGTCTTCGTCAGCAACCACCTCAGCATCGCCTCGTAAAGCGTGGAAGGGAGGCTCGAAGCTCTCATATTAATAATACTTCAGAAACATACAGTAATACATACATGGTACAACATGAAGCAGAATACTGATGCATCCTTGGGATGATGATGGTGGCGGCGGCAGGTGCTCCGACGAGGTGAATCCACGGAAGAAGCCGTACAATTTCTCTGACCAGCAGCTCAGGGACCTCGGCCTGCAGTGTAAGCCGGTGAGCCAGAGCCTGTACGACACCGTGAAGAGCCTCCAGGAGAAGGGCCATCTCCCGGTCATGCCACCGCAATACCAGAAGCTATGATCTCCTCCTGCTCCTGCATGTATACAGGTGATAGGCGTGGCATTAGTACACTGCTGCGTTTATGAACTATGGGACCTTCGTACAAGTGTAGCATTCTCTCTAGTTGACCATCTAACGAGGATTGTGCTTGTTCCGATGATGTCCGCTGATGCTTCTATAACACTCCCTCCGATGTAGTTTTAATTGTGTCATCTTAAAAGAGTAGTACGTGAGCTAGCCCTAAGGCTTACGTCTGTTCTGGGAACAGACAAGACATCAAGAAGGCGCCATATCTATCACCTAATCCACACGCTGCACTCCCGATTGCTTCGACAGGGAAAGGGGGGAGCCGTTAATGCAGTCGGGTGAGCAGGTTCAGTCTGCATCAGCAGAAAAGATAACACGATATCTCACCTTTTAGTAGTTCTTAAACCATCAAACCAAGGGAGAGACAGAAAACAGGGACTCTCTTCTTCTTCTTCTTCTTCTTCTTCTCTCACTCCTTGAAAGGAGTCAACTGCACAAATGAGCACTCAGACTGAGAAGTGGTGAAAACAGGGGCTCTGTTTCTATTTGTTTCTTCTTCTTCTTCTCTCTCCTTATAAGGCAGCAAATTGAATGGCTTTAAATTGTGTCCTATAAACACTTTTTCTACACTTCACCAACTCTATAAATGAATAATCTTTTGGATCCAAAGCCATGAGAAAGACCACCAAAAGAACAGTAAAAAACATAAAAGTACTAATTTGTTCTCTCTGGAGAAATGGGGTCCTGATGTTTCTCGTTCTGGCATATAACACAGTAAGTTCCTCAGCGAAACATCTGCTGATGATTTATGACTCGGACATGTATGATCAGGCAGGCTTGAGATCTTATCAGATAGCATAATTCTTCTGGGGAAAAAACAACTCACCAGATGGGAAAGCGGCCTGTGATCTTGGGTGGGTGAGCTTCAAACATCTTCCATAATAAAAAATGCTGCCCGTCGATATGCCTTCTTGGTGAGATGCAAATCCTCTGCAGCCCTTCTAGATTTCCTATCAAACTCTGTAGTATGACCAACAAATCAAACATAAATCGCTTTCTTGCAAACCACTGATCTCATCAGGCAAATCACAACTTGCTAGTGTGTTACTTACATAATCTAATGCACATAAGCATCTCTCACAACCCAAAGCGATCCATGCCACACACAACAATGATAGAACAGGAGGAGAAATAATAAATATGAATGAATTTATTCAGCTTTTCTTTTTTTTTTGGACATTATTAAAGATTGTAGAATAAGGACTTACCCGAGGGCTAGGCCGGTTCATATATCTCCATCTCGACGTCAGATCTCAGGGATCAAATGATAATAAACAAGAGCACATTGACTCCATAGCAAGGGGAAATCTGCCGTGGGTGGCCATCAAGATCATACAGTTCAAACAGGTTCACAAATGGACATGAAGTCTCCACCTTCCACCGAAAATTAAGATTTTTGCATGGCCTTCCGTGACACAATCTTGCGACGTGTATGGGAAGAAGATTTATTTCCTCAAGGTGTATGAGCTATCAAAACTGATGACACAGCAGAGAGAACAGACTCGAGGCATGGCTAAAGCTAAAGCTCATGATGTCTTCAGGAGGTTGAACAACTCCCTGTGGTTATTGCCTGTTTAATATGGAAAATTGGATCTAAATCTAAAGTCAGATCATGTTAGATCGGATCCATTGACAGGCTTAGGAAGGTCACTTCCGAAGGATTGGCCACCAAAAGACATGTGCCTCGGAGAAGGTTCTTGAACAGAGCCTTCATTGCCCGGTGGATGCAATTGCAGCAGAAATGTCAACCATTGAGTTCTCTCCGCTCGAGCCAAAATACGGATCGACAAGTGAGAAAATGGGAACCAAAATCCCACCAAAAAGTACTCATCTTCGAAACCTTTTTCCTGCTTTAAAGCCTTTCTGTCAATCTCGTTCCCTTCTTTCCAGCTACTTCGAAGCTCCTGAGAGAAGGCGGATGGTCGGATACCATCAAAATCTAAAATCTTTGACAGCAGACTGTTGCTTAGAAGTGGTGGATGGTATGCAACTCCTAACTTAAGCCGGCTCAGCTACTTCCAGCAGCTCCAGTGCAACTCAGGCTGGTCTCCAACAACTTCTTTCACCTTTTTTCCTCTAGAAAGAGGAGAGATTCCTCCTGCCACAAGATAGAGGCTATGTGCATCAAAGATATTTTAGAAGCAACAAGAAAAGATACAGACCGACTTCTATTAACTAGAAATCTCAAATCAAAACTTCTACCCTCTTTTTTCCCCTCTGAAGAAAGATCAAAAGAGGTTCCTTCTGAAATTGGACGAAACATTATGAATAAAAATATATTTGAGCAACAGCTAAGGAAATCCACCAACTTACCTGAAGTATTAAAACTGAAACGAACAAGAACACAGAACTGTACACTGTTGACTATTATGACTTTAGAGGATCTATGACTTGCTGATTTTGGCCAACTCAGAGTCATGCCAACATACATGACAACCACTAGATCAAAATTTTCAGAGAAGCTTATTCTTGAAAAAGATTATTAAGATCTTGGTACTGGAATTTGTTGCCACATTTTAGTAAGGCAAAGAAAGGTTATAGGTAGCGGAGAGGAGGTTATTTGGAAGTCAGATTTTCTTGTTTGATGCTGAACTGCAACCATCTTGGCAGATATAAATGCAACAAAATGAAAGAGAAAAAAATCTCAAAGTTTGAAGGATATTGCAGAATATAGCAGAAGATAACTATTTGGTTAGAATGATTTGCAACAATTTATATTGTTAGACTAAGAATGATGAAATGGTAGGACCAGAACACCAGTATACAAAGTATACCACAGAGCAAGTAACTCTACACATACAATTTAGAAACTTAAGGGAGACTACGTCACAGAAAATAATTTAACAGTAAAAGTGTATAGTTTGGAGTGAATAAAATGCAATAATTTCTTTATTCCAGAACCTGAAGGAAAGGTTGTGATGGCAACAGTCTTGAGATCTTTTAGGAGACATCATTATTCAGCCTTAGTTAATAAACTGCAAGCAACCAGAGTTGGCAACGACAAGGCATGACATTAAATCAAGGATAAAATGAGACAAAATCCTATAAATTAGTGGTTAAAATTTATTCAAAGACAAATCTAAAAGGCACGGTATTAATCAAGGATAAAATGAGACAAAATCCTGTAAATTGGTCTGTTAAATCTTATTCAAAGACAAATCTAAAAGGCACAGTAAATCAAGGATAAAATGAGACAAAATCGTGTAAATTGGTCTTTTAAAACTTATTCAAAGACGAACCTGCAAATGCTCCTGTGAGGCATGGCGAGTCCACACTAGGTGGGGCAATGAAACCTGAAGTAGATTTGGTTAGAAATCATAAACAAAAGATATGTGGTTTGTCATTCTTGCTGTGCTAATTGCAGTACATTTACTATTTGCTATTTGAAAAATTTTGGAGAATCTCCTTTCAAATATCAAAGAAAAGCAAGACGAAAATAGAGACCCTTCAATTGTCATATGTTCTCAACTGAAAACCAGTATAGATGAACTTGTGTTAGTCATTAATTCAAGAAAGCCATTAATCAATAAGATATAGCATTCCAGAGGACATTAAATATCTGTTTGGTCAACAAAACTGAAATGAAAAGAGATGATGGATGATTAGATAATAAGAGAGTCATATATTATGTACAGACATTGAGTTATAAATTTTCTGGTCGAAATTAAAGAACCTTAAAAGGAAAAGGGGGTTCTCAGTGGGATTTCTTGAAAGAAAAGCCTGCTGAAAAATACTGCCTCTTTGACTAATGAAATTTCTATGCAACAAACTAAATTAGACACTATGAAGGGTTTGTCAAAGCACTGGAGTAATTTTATTTGTTACTTAGAGAACCGGTAAATTAGGCAAAAATAAATTCATAAAAGAACTCAATGATACACTTGGTTTTCCAGTGCTGTTCAAATTGAGATTTAAGGAAACCAGTTTTCTCTGATCTATCAATGCTGGAAGTATACAATTTTACTAGAACAAACAAAGTGATTCGACAACTCAAACGAAAATCATGAATGAATTAAAACAAAAAAAGTGAAAGAGAAAGTAATCGATTAGAGAGGCCCCCATAGAAAATGCAAATTCGAGTCACAACAACATGTAAAAGAGAAGAAAGAAAGACGTCACTACAGCCTAGGAAAAAATCATTAGATTGACTTACCAACTCGTTTGCCAAGCACACAATAGTGAAGCTAGAGTCTAGAGTCCAAAAAGAATCTCGCTATTGACAACTTAAGTATAAAAAAGAGTGTCGTGCTACGCTATTCCTTCGTAATGTCTAAATGTTATCGGTACTCGACTAAGCATGAGTTTTAGAACATGGATTAATTTAAAAATTCTGAAACCATTGGGACAAGTAAATATTGTTTCAGTGAAATACCATCTACCCACTAGATGCTTTAAAAGAGCTTTTGAGTATGAAATTTCATTTCGATCCTATGATTTAAAAAACGTTAGGCGTTGAAAGACGTCAAGGTTCAAAAATACTCGAGACGCTAGGCGCTCGTCCGAACGAAACAAGACGCTAAAATATAAAAATATATAATATAATTAATAAATATAATTATTTAAATAAAAATATATTATTAAATTAAGAAGATCCAAGGTACAATATCATAATGTCACATTAACAAAAAAAAAAGTCTCAAAATTCAAAATAATAAAAATTTATATCAAAGTCATTCATCATAATCAATATTATTATCATTTTCATACAAATCATCTTCATTGAATATGTCATCTTCCTCTTGTCCTTCCTCTTAATTAAAATATGTTTCATTATTTATGTCTTCAACAATAGTAGGAACCGAGTTTAATGCTTTTGCACTCATTTTTCTTTTTGTTATCTATCTTACATATGTTTGTAATTCTCCTGCATCTGAAACTCTTATTACATCTCGTCATGTCAATCTATCATATTCAAATACAAGCTCGTCTTCGGTACCTTGCAAGTTGACACTCATTTCTCCCACCAATCACTCATTTGAATCATCAATATCTTGTAATAAGATTGAATCAATTCTATTTCGTAAATCATGATAAGCCCTCAAAGCTTATTTATACTTTATATAAACAAGATCATATAATCGTTGATGTTCCAATCGATTTTTTCTCCGTGAGTGAATATGTCATGTCATATAATTTAAAAATATATTAATATATCTATCTAAATAAATAAATTAATTGAAATAAAAATATTTAGTGATGCTTACATGCTCAAAGACACTCTAGTTTCAATCACAACTCGAAGCACCACAATCAAACTAGGTCCTTTGATAGTAAATTATTGCAAGTTTGAGGTGAAATTTTCAAATAGATTTCATCGTTCAGTTATAAAAAGTATGTTATTACTAGTAACAACATAGTAACATACTATAGATGAAATTAATTATACCAAATAATTAATACTTGGAGACGTAGTTGTCTTGGATCGAAGAATTCCAAAAAAACCTTCAGCATTTTTATATAGAGATAATTCATAAATAATCTTATCTTGTACCTCAAGGCTTGGAACTAATCTTGTAACATACTGATATAACCCATCCAAAACTTCTACATCAAACCCAACAGATTTAATCTTATAAAAGAATTCAGTGTTCAAATAATATTCTACTACATGCAAGGGACATGGACGATGAAGTTGAGAATTCCATCTTTTGTTAATGATTGTAAAAATTTTCTCATAGTTTGCTTCATTTTCATTAAAAGACCTTTTAATCGTCTCCTTTGCTCTATCCATAGTCTAATAAATATATCCTATTGCATATTTATTTTCATTATCCACTAACCAAAGAACTTGAAAAAGAAGGCTCATTACTTTTAATATATAAATTATATGATTTCAAAAGGATAGTATTAAGATGATATTGTTGAATCTCGTATTTTGATGATGAAACTACTTGATATATGTTTATGATTTAATCTGCGTTTTGAGTGACGCAGGATGCTTCGATCAGGATGAAACAATTAAAGCAGGAAAATCATGTTGTGTTGGAGGAACATGTTAGAAGATTGGACGACGGGCCGGTGGATCGGTCGACATATTGACAGAAGGCTTCGGGCCGTGGACTCGGGCATCGGGCCAAGAAGAGCGGGTATTGTGCCAAGGATATCGGAGTTACGGAGTCAACTGGCCGATTGGGCAATAGGCTGCAGGAGAGGATGATGCGCCGAAGAATCGGACGAAGTGTCGAGGGACCAATGACATGCCGGATAACTTGGTTAATTGCTTAGGATTAATTGTCTCGATCAAAGTTTTGTTTTAAATGTGTAGGATTAACTACGATAGAAGAAAGACATGCAGCAATAGTTGCCCCGGAGTCAAGACAATTATCACGTTGGGAGTTCGAGAGTTCGACGGAAGTTCGGACAATCGTCAGAGGTTCTGCGGGAACAAATCCGAGAAGTCCATGAGCTTGCCAAAGAAGCTCGTCGGAACTCGCCAAGTGGATCGTCGCAAGTCCAGGAGTTTGCCGGAAGTCCGCAAGAGCATCACCGAGGGTTCATCAGATGATCGACGGAAGTTCGCCGGAAGCTCATCGGAAGAAGCGATTGACGCACCGGAGCAAGTTGCAGTAAATGTCTTAGGAAATATCGTAGTTAGCACAATGATTAAGTTGGAAATGAGAGGTGATCCCATTAACTTAATCTTGGGGCAATTGGGCCCCTGAAAAACCCAAATTAGGCCGAATGGATCAACCCATTCGGACCCTGATTTCTGCTTGGCGGTTCAACCGCCCCAGCCAGGAGGTGGCACCGCCTGGGCTCAGTCTCCAAGCGAGACTGGGCGGTGCAACCTCCCCTGACAGAGGTGGCACCACCTGGGCTCGGTCTCCGAGCTCTGGCTGAGCGGTGCAACCGCCTCAGTCAGGAGGTTACACCGCCTGAGCTCGGTCTTCGAGCTCTGGCAAGAGGTGCAACCGCCCCTGACAGGAGGTGGCACCGCCCAGAGGCTCAGTCTTCGAGCTCTGCCAAGCGGTGCAACCGCTACAGTCAGGAGGTGCAACCGCCTGATCCCGGAATTCCGGGAATTGACAGTTTTGAGCTCCAAATTTGAACTGGGTTGGGGCCTATAAATACCCCACCCATTCAACACTAAAATAGTAATCAACATACACCGAAATCTTGATCTTGTTATGTGATTTTTAGAGCTCAAAATTGTTGTAAAGGCCAAAAGTTCTTCTCCCTCTTTTCTTCCAAGTTTTGAGCTGTAAAGAGATGAGAAAAAATTCTGTAAAGGTTGTCTCCTAAGCCCGTTAAAAGGAGTGAAACTGTAAAAGGGTGGTTGGCCTTCGCCTATGGAAGGAAGGTCTCTAGTTGACGTCGGTGACCTCGTCGGTGGAGGAAGCCAAAAGTGGAGTAGGTCAAGATTGACCGAACCACTCTAAATCTCGATTTGCATTTACTTTGAGCATATTATCTTTACTGCAAACCTCCTCTAAAGCTTACTGCCTTCTGCGCATATACGATCGTGTTTCAAGCTCTGCATTTTCCGAATCGGCGTTTAGACGTAAATCGTTTTTATCATACGATATCAGTGCTCTTGATCCTAACAGATATCAGTAGCCCTCTTGCCTTTTGCTTCTTTTGCTCATCTGCTTATCCCTCATTTCTCAAAGGTAAACATGTTTATCAGATTATGTTTTTGACGATGCACGCTCTGTAATGTCAAGAATGAAGTAGCAAATCGGGTGATACTATATCTCACTAATTCTTTATTGTCTGTGAATTCTCCCATCATATTCAAAGTCCCAATATGATTATAAAGAAATCCAACAACAAAAATTATCCTTCCTAAAATTTTCAGTATGGAATCTTTCCAATATCTTCTAGCATTAAATCAATATAATATGTCGGGAGTCCAATATAAATGCTTTCTTTTTGTTTTAAATAATTTACCTAAGACAAATAATAATAAAAATGATAAGACTTAAGATTTTAACACATTTAATTGAAGATAAAATAATTAAAAAATAAAAAAAAATTAAAAGATGAATATTACCAACTAATACATAGTTGCTTCTATTATCGGTTATGACTTGAACGATATTTTGTTCTCCAATTTCTTTCACAGACTTGTCAAGTAAATTATATATCTTGTCTCTAGATTTTACAAAAGATGAAGCATTTTCACAAATATAATCCCTAAAGAATAGTTAACCATAAAATTAATTATATTGCTGTGTCTCCTTTTAATCCAAGCATCTGATATAATAGAGTAACCATGTGTCGCCCATGATTCTTTATGACTCTTTAGTAAGTCATTTGTATAATTCAACTCCTTTTGCAATAGTGAAACTCGTATCTCATAATAACTTGGAGGTTTTAATCACGTACCATATCTTCCAATAGCTTCAATTATTTCTTTAAAATTGTCTAAGCGAGTTGTATTAAGGGAAAGACTAGCTTGATAGAAGAAGTGAGTACTGTGCTGAATTATTCTTCCTCTTATTTCTTTATCACAAGCATCACCTATATTTGTTTGTCTAAAATTTGAGCCTCTTGTTTACTCTTGTTGCTTCTGTGATCCTTGTGATCCTTGAAACAAATATAGATCCATCGATCGTTTTATACCCTTCTTAGTACTCATAACTTATTTTCCATTTTTGTTGTATATTTTTTTCCCACTTGGGTTAATACTCATAGAATAATCTTCTTCTTTATCTCTGAGATATTTAACATTACCTTCCGGTAAATTTCTGTAAGATTCATTCTTTCGCATCTTTTTTTTTTCATTCATATAACTCAATAATTCTTCTTTTACCTCAAGTGGACACTTTTTACATGCTGCTGCATTTTTAAAATTTCATACTAGATTTTGTTTTGCACAAAAAATACCGCCTCTAATAGTTTTATCGCAGAACACGCAAATCACTACATTAGGATCTTTCGGATACTTTAGATAGTTATACTTCCATGCAGAATTTTATTTTAATGTCATTAGAGAATCTATTAAGTTGCTTTGTACACTTGTCATTTATCTTGAAACATAACAATAATTTCAAATAAATAAAAATTAACAGTATCAAAATCAAAATAATATATTATTAATTTAATAAATAAAAATACTATTACTAGTATACAGTTAGTAGTATATTATTAAAATACTGTTAATAATATATTATCGAAGTGAGAAAAATGTGACTAAGAGGAAGACCGAGGTTGTTGACTAAGAGCAACAGTAGCGACAATGGGAGCGACGATAGCGACAATGGGAGCGACGACAACGACAACAGGAGCGGGAGCAATGGCAGTGGGAGCGATGAACGGTATCAGCAGCGGGAGTAGCGAGCGGTGATAGTGGAAGCGGTAGCAGCAAGTAGTGACAACAACGACGAGCAATGATAACAACGGCGAGCAGTGACAGCAACAACGAGCAGCGACAACAGAGAAGAAATCTCGATGGCAAAATCACAAGCAGGGTTAGGGTTGGAGAAGTCACGAGAGGAAAGCTGATATCGGTGCTTTAGTTGGTTCGATTGAACCAATTAAAGCACTAGAGATTGAACCAGACCCAAAACGTTGGTTCGATCGTCTGATTTAACTCAGGCGCTCGCTCAAAGTGCTCGACACCTGGGCTTGAACGAGCGCCCAAGTGATGCCTCTTTGAAGCACACCGTTTGGAAATGAAGCGAGACGCTCGAGCCTCACCTCGCTTAGCCCGAGTTCCTATTGAAATCACTGCTTTGATCAAATGGACCATAGGTTATTTTGTCCGGCTTCTACTTACGACTGTTTACATTTGTTAAATACTACATTACCAAAATATAACAGTTACCTAAAAAGAACTATTAAGTAGTCAGTTTTTTGTGCCACAAAATCAATCTGGAGATTAATAGAAATGCTCATGTAGTGATCATAGTAACTCTCAGATTCTTCTAATATTGCTATTACTAAAAATCAGGGAGTTCACATGATCAGAAAATGTAATTAAAAAGAGTACTATGATGTTGCTCAGCCCTAAACCTTGTTTGATGCTAGAAGTGTATCCTGTCCTTGTACAAGTCTAACACAGTACTACAAGTAATACATCGAAAACGAACTTATACTCCCCGTCACCATATATTACATAGATAAACAAAAAAAAAAAAAAATCTAACAGCTTGGTAAACATAAAACATAAAATGAAATCTGTGGAGTTAGGAGAAAGATCTAACTACCGCGCGAGTAAATAGAAGGATGAACACGGAAGCTGCAACATACTTCTCTTTTCAGAAGAATGGTTTTCTGTTTAGACCAGCTAACTATACAAGACCGTCCTGTAGACTCTTTTAGATTGCAATCAAATTTCTGTTTCATATATACCATGTGGAAGTTGATACCTAACATATCCATACGTTTAATCTAGAATAGTTAAAAATTAGGCCTCCCATTCATAACATAGAGATCATCAAACTCCTATTCATTAATTGAAAATTAAAAATGGAAATTAAGTGTATACATCAAAGATTCACATTCAGAAAAAGCATAAGTTGAGGTATGATAATAAGTTTAGTCATATTGCTCAAATAGATTAACCGAGCAATTCATATTGCTCAAATAGAGAAAACACTAATTTAAAATTAGTTACAAGGGGCAGAAAAGAGGGAAACAGAGCTCAAGTATTTATAAGTTACTTGGAGTTAAAGTTTAGTCTTCTTCTTACCAGCATCCTCTATATGGAAGGAAAAGAAATGTCTTTGCTCAACAAAGAGACTATTTGCATCTATATTGATCTTGCAGATGAACATAAACATCCAAACTATGTCATCAAAAAACCTACTTAAGACACCCATTGGAATGTTAATTAGTTTATTCACATATTCATTTTAAACATACAAAATTTGACATTTATTCACATATTGATCTTGGTGATGCATATATGAAGGTTGGGGTCATGATACATGCCTCTAGAATTTATTCTTAACATTTTCCTTATAATTTATTCCCTTTCGAATTCATCTTATTTTGTGTAGTTTCATTTTTTATCATTCCAGTGTGTCTAATACTTAAAAAGTGCTTAACAAAATTTATGGACATCACAATATTATTTATCAATTCTTGTTTTTTTAGAGGGGGGGATGTTCACTTCCCTAAACCAAATATTTACGGCCATCTGCACCCTCCCATTCCAGAACCAGTTTTGAATCTTCTGTTCACCAACCTATGTAAATCAGCAGCCACATATGTCACATATTTCAACTTTTGGGTCTTTGAAATCCTTTCAAACATATTGCTAGGTACATCTCTTCCTAGGGCATCTATCTTGAGCATGTGTTTCATACTCTCCTTCAAAATTGTTGGGTTTCTTGTACTCAGGAAATGTTTTTACAGAATATATGGACATGGTAGTACATTTATCGATCAAATTATCACCTTTTGCTATATTCACCTTATAGAGTTAATCTATTTAAGCATCAAAACTTATGCTCTTCTCTATGTATCTTGGTCGCTCACACCTTCCTTGAAACACTAACATGCATGCACCTTAATTTGACTTGTAATAAACAAAGATCGCTTTAGGTTTTAGCTAAATTTCTGATCCTACAACTTAATGTAACTTACGAAAAGACAAATCCATTCCAACAAATTTGTGAAGCATAAATTTGAAAGGTCCATCCATTCCAATAAATTTGTGAAGCATAAATTTAATTGTTTTCGAACAATTAAATAAGATTCATCCTTCTCGGATGACAAAGAATGACACAGCTGACAGAAAATTTTATTGTAACTAAACCTATGAGTGTTTTAGAGAAGAGGACATGTTAACACAAATCTTTGCTTCTCAAGATCAAGCCTTTTTTGCATATTATACATTAAAACAAACTGTCAACCAGAGTCAACCAAGAAAGAATCACAGGTCAATCCTAGTCACCAAGTGTAGGAGATTTGAGCTGGTGAAGATTGCTATGGATTGTTTACCAGTTCTAGATTTGGAATTCATGGCTAGGGATTATCTACCAAAGGCCATCATAATATCCCATTAAATTTTCTGAACAAGGTGTTGGACATGCTAGAACTTATTCTAAGGTTTGCTGGGACTTGTTTAAGTATGCCCATTAAATGGTGTCTTCTCTTCTGCTTGCTTGCCTGCTTATACTGCAACATGCCATTGTATGTATGTATGTCATTCTCTCCCTCCACCCTCCATGTTGTATTTCCACACTCATGAAATAACCTGGGGTCTTCCACTCCTCCTTGCCAAAGAACATTAGTCAGGGATATCACACCATCAGTGAACAGATGAAAAGATTCAAAAGAAAGCCTACTTGGGATGGTCCAACGGATCAAAGGTCAATATGAATCAATATGACAACACAAGTTCCTATAGATTTTTTATCCAGCAAAGGTACTTGGAAAAACATTACTAATCTCCCGAGTTATCCAGAAGAATAGTATTTTGCCTCCATACCAGCCCATAGATCTCAGGTAGCAAAAGAGAAGATTAAATATAAAGTAGGTTGACAAAGAGGATGCCACCCTAAAGCCAGATAATTAACAGAATACAGAAATATACTATTAAGTACATGTTTATTAGTTTTTCCATGTGTTTCAACTCTACAATAAAAAACATCACCTTAAACAAAGCACACCCAAAAGAGTATAGGTGACATTCTATATAGTACTTAGATCCCTACTGCATCTGGCATCAATAGAATATTTTTATTTGCAATGTAACCATATTAAATGAAGAGTACTCTATGAATCATAAATATGCTGATGTCCCATTATCCTAACAGTAAAAAACTCTACGTTACAGAAGCTTTCCTGACCCATGTACGACGCACGAACCGGATAGGGGTCATTGCTGACAAAAAAGAAAAAAAAAACTAGTAAGAGTTAGCTGAACCCAAAGCAAATTGGACAAAGTGGAGATAAAGGTGCTATGGTTTAAGCAGAAGATTCACAAATAACAACTAAGATCATCCAGCAAAATCAATGGAGCATCTGCCTAAAGATTATTAAGAACAAAAATAAGATGATTAAACATGGAACACTATTTCAAAATGAAAGAACACAAAGTCAGGAAAGTATAGTGATCTTACTAAGTTAACTGGAGCCACTCTAGACCACTCTTCTAAATCTTGTATTGGGGCTCAGCATGACAGCAAGATGCACTTTGTTTTTCTCCTTGTAGCAGAGTCATTCAATTATTCTTAGTTCAGGGAGGAGTTATGTACCTTCTGGAACTACTGACAAAGTGAAGGATAGGATGTGACGCGTATATGGTCACTAAATCCACAAAACAAACTAAAGGCACAATAAACATGACATGATAAATGATTCTCTGATAGAAATGAACATTGTAGAATTTTTTTCCCCACGGGGAGATGGTATTAATGGCTAAGGAAGAACGAAAAACGGAATGGCTTGGGTCAAAATGTCAAAGCAAAGTGGTCATTGTGAATTTAAGCCAAGAAAAAGACTTCTAGCTTAGATACCATCTTCCATCGTCAAAGCTCTTACCATAATTTACACAAAATAACGTTCCAGGCTTGTTCTCCTGGATTCATTTGTCTTCGGACAGAGAAAGCTTAAAGACGTACCCATGTCATTATTTCAACTGGGAACGACCACATTATTTCCTATTGCACAATAAAAAGAAAGGGAAATTAGAACCAACAAAATTTTCCCTCTTGATTCCTTGCCAATTCATCATGGTTATAATCTACTTTCACATTATGTTGCACAAATCAGTCAAAGATACTGTACTTGCATCTTCCATGTAGACAACAAGGATTTGCCTAGTTCTGGCTCTCTTTAAGAATTATAGTGCTGTTCTTTGTCTGTCTCAACAAAAGCATAAAAAAGGGGTTAAGTTAGCTAAATTTCCAAGGTGGGCTAAAGAAAAAAGCAGTGATGCGTTGTATTCTCATAATCTCAGAAACACAATGTCTCTTCTACAATCATCTTAACCGAAAACAAAAATCAACTAAATCTTTGATTACTCCACACGGTCATTGAACGAGACAGCATGCCATCCCACCATAATATCCAATACTCAGATAGCAAAGTTGAATTTTCCACATAATAAACAATACCGAGTGTCGATCTCTTTGTAATACCTAACAATTCATATTTGTCAACAAGATTCAGGAAACGATATCAAATAAGTGGCTAGTCCTCGGTGCTTATTAGAACTCATACGAAAGAAAACGCAAGTCCAAGATCTTTCTTCTTAAATCATATGCAATCAATCTCATAACAAGAACGTTTTACACCGCTATTACAGAAGTCGTGAATTTAAATGTCTAACATACATCAATCAATCGACACACAATGTCCATACATGCACTGCTTAATCGGGAAAGAGCATAAATTACTCAAATGCCAGTAACCATCGGTGACAGGGAATAAAAGCCTCCTTGTCGAGAACCTGAGCGTGTTTTACCTCTAAGAAATGATTAACAACGGCGAACACAGAACGAAGTCCGAATTACCGATCCAACAAATCCGATAGCATGCGCGAAGCAACGAATAACTGCATATAGCAATCGAAGGATAAGAGAATAGAAAGAAGCAACAACAGATCCATGAACCGGAAAAAAAGAAGAACACAGAAAACGAGGGAAAAAAAAGGAAGCAATCCAAAGAATCTGCTCTTACTGGCGAAAGGAAGCGATTTCTCATCCAAGAAACATCATCCAAGATCAGCTCCTTGACGATATGGAGAGCAAACAATAAGAAAAAAGTGAGGAGGAGGAGGAGGAGGAGAGGACGGATCGAAGAAGAAGAAGAAGACCGTCCAGCAGCACAAGAGGAAGAGGAAGATACAGACAGGAACAAGACGTGTAACCCTGCCCTCATCCTATCTCGCTGCCGGATGAACAACTGCGCCTCAAAAGTCACGCAGTAGTTATCCTGTTATTTCCCTAACCCCCCTTCTCTTTTATTTTCTTTTGTTATCTGATTTCTTCACCCTCTCGATTCGTCGAGTTGCCACTCCAATTTTTTCGGCGCATCAAAGTTGAAATCGGGAGGAGAGCGGAACAAACTACTGCCATGAAATGATAGACCCTACGCTGCTACATCTCCGCACCTCGAAACAAACCCATAAGGGACGAGACGTCTCGGCGGAGCAGATGGCCGACACGAGATGAGTAAGAGAGAGAGCAGCGCACGCGTGTCCGCCCCTCCATCGATGCAATAATCCATACATGGAAAGCATCCTCACCCTCGCCTCTTTCCTATCGCCCGTTGGGTTTTGCCCAGCCGCAGTCGGGAGTAAACCGAAGGGGAGAGTAGCATCTACATCTGCCCAACTCACCCACCGCGCACCGCCGGGGAGGTGGAGATGACAGAGAGAGTAGTGAGCACGCAGCAGCGACGGCATCGAGGCGGTGCGGTCGCCGCTGTGTGCTCACTCTCTTCTGTCAACCCGGGTGACCCCCGGACGACACCGCGGTCACACTGTGAGAGAGAGAAACAAGAGATGAGGAGTAAAGAGACGATCCATATCAAAAATCGAAGGCGATCCATCCACCGGCCGCGCTTTACCGCCTCCATTCTCGTCTCCCGACCCACCTCCAATTCTAGGGTTTTTTTTTGCTTCAGCGAAAACGCTAGCCAACCTCGCCTCTCCTGTGTCGCTCGCTCGGTTTCGCATCCTATTTATCGCCAACTCGCACGTGTCGCCCTCCTCTTCCTCCTCCCTGTGACGTGGAACAAAGCTAAATGGGCACGTCCCGATTCGGATGCCTCTCTCTCTCTCTCGATAATTAATAATAATTGTAATTTCTAATTATTTTTTGGGGAATATATTTCGTCCTTGGTTCGTTAACGCACGCAGAAAATAATTGTATCGGAAGAAGGTTAGGAAAATATAGTATCATTTATTATTCTTTTATGGGGGGCGCAATCCGGACACCGTCGACCGGCCCAATCGGTACCGTGCAGTTACCCGCACGGTAGCGCGTACGAGACTCAAGATCCGCCGTCCGTTCTCCGCCCGCACGAGGAGAAGCTCGCACGTGTCCGCCTAAGGCCGCGAGTCCTGTTGGCGCTTCGGAGGGTGGGCGGGGGCGTCGATATATCGTCCGTTCGATCTAGGGAGAGTGGGGCCCGCCGACTCGGCGCCCGTGATTGGAGCGGCAGGGTGAGGACGGGTCATCGCCATCGGTCCGCGTACGAAACGGGGAATTCCCTCCCCGCCAACTCGACTTGAGCCTGATGGGCGTACGTACGGCCGTGATCGACGCGTGGAAATCAATCAACGAGCACGGTTTCCCTCTTCTTGGCTTCTACCCGCAGTGGTACCTTTCTTGTGATTGCCTGTATCCTATGAGACCGACAAAGCCGTGAAAGGTAAGCAAGTCGGGTACGATTCGAGCCGCGGAGGAGAAAAGAAAAAGGGGTCTAACTTGGGATTAGATTGGCTAAGGAATCATCACTTTGACTAAACTAATTAGACGAGCAATCATGCTTATGATGAGACCATTTATGGGCTAGTCAAAGGAATTCTTTAACGCGTGATTGGACCCATTAGGAAAAGTTTAGGTTTAGTTGCTTTAGAAATTGTGCTCGATCGGATGCTAATGGTGACAAGATCATGCATGAAATCTCCAAGGCATATCTTTGGAATGAATCGGAGGAGACTGCTTTGCTCCTTGCTTTGACCAGTAATACTGCGCTTTGCAAATTTAATAGAGACAAAGATTGATGAGCAAACTCAGTGAATAAAGAAATCAAAGGAATCTTTTGATTCATTCAAGTACTTGGAAGTTGAATCTTTTGTTTTTAGTTCAAAAAGGATCTGTCATTTTATCATTTACAGATGCTTGAGGTGAGTCCTAAATACGAAGAACTTCCAAGGAGTAATGGAAGTAATCCTTCTGCTGCAGGAGTCTTGTGCACTATGCTTTGATGTCAATCATCAAACGAACAGAGCTTGGGATTCTGATGGCCGGAAACAGCAGTCCAGTGACCATCTCTTGGCCTTTGGCTTCTTCTCATGACAAGAACTGGTTCCATTGCTCGCTCTTCCGGACATGTTGCTACAGCCACTTGCTGCACAAGTGGATTAGCTTTGTTCCATCCACTTGAAACCAAACAAAAGAAATGAATTGTTGCCTGCATCCCCATCTTTCAATGCCATGGTCCCCCTTTGTGAGCTAGAGACGCATCTCACAAGTCGCCAAAGCGGGGCTGACACCCCCAGGCCACTGCTTTGATGGAGGCAGAAGCATATGTCTCCCACACATTGGATTGACCATTGGCAGCTGCTGTTATTGGCTACCAGAAACAAGACAAATGCGTGTATGTGCAAGTCTTCCAGGCAAAACCGTATGACCTTGGAATAAATATGGTGAGGTATCTTACCTTTTTATCTTGTGTGCCACTCCATCGCTTTGGAGTATATGAAGTGTAGCTACTGAAGGGACCATTTCAGATACAAATCACTTCAACCAAGATATCAGTGTAGGGGGACCATGTGTTGAAGCAAGAGAAGGTTACTTGTTACTCAGAGTCAAGATGCAGAAGCTGCACATCTAATCCCATGCAGCCATTCCTATGCCAGACCAGATATGGTTGTGCCAGGGAAAGGGAGGAGGAGGGCATCAACCACTCTGATAGCCTTGAGCATGTGGGAGGACTCCTGTGTGTATCAGAACTCAAACATGTTCATTGCATATGCTGCTGATTTCTCTTCCTAGTGAGATATTGGCTAATACTAATTGTTGTTGTATGGGGCACACCTTCTCTCAGATGAAGGAAACTTTAACTTCTCTATATCCTCCCAATCAATCAAACAATATTTCTGTACACAATCTCATTTTGTTGTATACAATTGTTTTAAATGCTGTTACCAGAAGAAGTATCTCTATGTTAACCCCTTATATTGATATAAAGCTCTAAATATGTTGCTCTCTCTCTCTCTCTCTCTCTCTCCTTCAAGCTCTAAATAAAGCTCTTGATGTCCCATCATGATATTAACTATGGTTGGTGGGTACCTCACCTACACATACATAGTTATATCCCCTCTCCACACTCATTCAATTCAGATACCTTCAAAATGAGCTATGATAAGGTTTGTTGTGACATCACTTGATGGCAAATTGAGTTTGTTTCTCTCTTGGGAGTTGTGATGAGCACCAAGAATGAGGTTTCTGAGTGATCAGTTAAAGAGCCACTTGTATAATCTCATTTCATAGACCTACCAACCTAATAATTAAGATATTATTGGAGGTCTTTACCTGCCCAAGATGTTAGGGTTAAGTTACCAACTCCTATTCATCAACAAAATGTATAATAGTGATTGGTAGGTTAATCCTATTGTTGTAGTTGATTGAGGATTTACATCACTTTAATTATAAACAGAGCCAGGCTTTGACTCATATTTGTTACTTTCTTTCAAACATGATTTGGGTTTTACAAAGAGTCTTCTTAAAAAATGAATGAATGTTTGTTTCAAACATAGTTATAAAAATCATATTGAACTAATTGGTCGAATAAAAAAATTCAAAAATATTATACTTAGACCAATTCAGTTCAAGAATTTTTAAATTTTAAAAATACTGAAATATCATTTTTAAAGTACTTTTATTTTAAGAATGAAAGAGAAAAATAATTGTTTTTATATTGGCCCATTCCTTAATGTCTTTACTCTTTTGTCATGGTTCCTATCATCCTTTTTCTTTAATAAATTATTAAAAAATAATATTTTCTATATGTTTTTAACATGAGATATACTTCATTTTATATTTTTTGATACTATTAAACCTATGATGTAACTAATTTTTCCATATATTTAATGTTCGATAGCTCTAAAAGATATCTAAATTCGATAAAAACTAGTTAGTGTGACATGGCATCTTCCTCTCCTTTCAACTCAATATTTTTTTTCTCTATGTCAAGCAAACATCTCATATTAAAATATTCTATAACATATAAAAACATAGGCTCGAAGGTTAAAAATATCAGTAAAAAATAAAATATATTTTAATTAATAATATTGATTTGAGCGTCGAAGGAATTATATTTTAATAAATAGATAATCGAATACGACTCATGAACAAACGCTCGGATCGATTCATTATTTGGACTTAATGACTTTTTTAATTTCTTCAATTCAATTTTCGGACCAAAACTAATGGAAATATCAATTAAATTGTACATCACAATGCATAATTCAATAGATAATTTCTATGGACAAAATAACAAGATAAAAGTTTCAACATGAATATAATATCATAATCATAACGTAAATTCTACTTGGACAATCTTATCTTGAGAAGGTAAATGATAGAAATAATAGAAGATAAGAACAATATAATATAAGAAGCTTTATTGTAGAAATGAAATAGCTTTAGCTTGAATACATTAACATGTTCCTATCATATTTATAGGATTAAGAGGGAGGATTTTCCTCAACAGAATAGAGGATTTTCCTCACAGAATAGATAAGATTTCCTCATATAGTGGGGAAATCTTATCTTCTATCATGCCCCCGCAAGATGGTGCTCCTGACAAGGATACCAATCTTGGATCGGTAAGAAAGAGACTTCGTGAGTAAGATAAGTGTAGATCGCTA